TGCCTGAAGTGTAGATTGTTGTAATGGAAGAGACAAATGATAGTCAAGTAAACAAAGTAGTAGCATTCAAAGAGCCACAGAGAAAATAAAATACTATAAAAGGAAGCAAAAGAAGGGGTAGGCTGGGTGTTTTTTGCTAAGAATAGTGTTTGAACAAATGTCTGGATAAAGCCTGGGAGGTGTATGACTGTAGGCTGAGGAGCACTTCCTGCAGCAGCAGGTGTGAACAATTCTGGCATCTCAAGGGCTTGGTAGGCCACGTTAAATTAGGTTCACTCAAAGAATGATGGGAAACCCATTTTGAAGGTTAGCATAAACCCCAGGACCACCCACGGTGCCTACTAAGTTTTCTTTTGGAAAGGACTAGAGGTCTTCCACATGCTCTGGTGCTTCCCCTGCTTTTACTTTTTTTGTTAGAGCCAATCACACGGGACCTCATAGACAGGAGCCAAAGCCACCTCTGACCTAGATTTTTATTCAGTCCCACCATCACCCAGATGTATTTCAGGGAAGCCTTGAGCAGGTAGGTTTCTCTTACAACTGTATAATGCTGTGATCCCAGAGATGCCAGGCCCTCTGAGAATTGTGACTGGAGTCTAGTCTTAGTTTCAGGCCTGCTTGGATGCTTGGCCACTCATGTGATGATCGTTGACACATGCCTTGCAAGCCATGCTTGACCTGGTTTCTTTAAAGCTGGATTTCAATTCTGTAATGATGAAGGCCCTTCCTTCCAGGGAAAGATTTATGTTTTAAGCCTCCAACAAATATACTAGCATAAACAGTTTGCCCCAGTTTTTGTATATCTTGAATTGGTCCCATTTGTTTTGGAAGCCATGTCACCCGACATGACCTCTTCTCTCCTCGGTCCTTAGTGTGGCTTACACTTATTTCAGCACTCTTTGTATCTGAAGTGGTTTTTAGGTTATGATACCCAAATTTAGTCTTGCCGATAACACTTGGCTGCCAGTGTGAAAGTCTGTATGTTTTAGGAAGTACAGTATTAGTTCGTTTTAATCCTTTAATCTTCCCATATGCTAGATAATAGTCTGCTCTAACACCTACATTTCAGAGCATTTTTTTTTTTTCAGTAACATTTCAAACTTGTGGTGGGGCCATGTGGCACCAACAGAGTAGAATGAGTTTGCTTTGACTTTTTTGCTTTTTTTTTTAAACTTGATTTTTTTCCTACTTCCTGGAAAGTTTTGTGGTTGAATTACCTTTGAATGGCATTTTTGATTAGGCCATTTGCTCTTAGGTGTTAATTCTGTGATCATTCTGTTTGGAGCTGCACTGGACACGTGGCTTGAGTTTCATGGAGGCTGCTTGTGGGTTGATGAAACCAAGGCCCAGCATGTGGTGGTCACAGTGGAGGGGGAGTGGGAGAGTGGTTGTCATTATCTGAGTTCCCACAATTACAAGGAGTTAGTAGCAAAACAGAGCTAAAAATATTCACTAATGAGCCACTTCTGAACTCTCTTCTTGCTTACCATTTGTTTGTGTTAATAACAGTGTCCATCTTTCATCAGGTTTATTGTGTAGAAATGTATATTTTGCAAAAGATGAAAGATTTAATTAAGTCAATGAAAGTGACATCAGAGAACTACTGAGTTTCACGAGTGGTCGATAACAAAGAATTAGCAGAATTGGATAATACACTGCTGAAGAAACAAAGACAATAACTACTGTTTAGTCCTAAAGTGATAGAAATATTGTAGGATTAAGAGAAGGGTTCTTGTTAAAAAACACTGACATTTTTCAATAGCTCATTGGAATGATCCTCTTTACTATTCTGTGACTAATATTTTAAAATTTATTATTCTATGAAAACCATGCAAAAAGTCCAAGATGAAATATAAAGTAAAAAATAAACCCCCCAAATGAAAGCGTGATCACTTGCTCATTCTAAGACCACCAATAGAGATAATTATTTTTGTTTAGTTAAACATAAGATAAAATAGCCTTTGCCCTATATGTTCTGGTTTTATTTTGCAATATAAAATTTCATCTAAATCTTTGTCACTATTTAAATCAAATCTGTGCTCTCGGTGGATTTACTGTTTTAAATGGCTCTTTTCTAGTTCCAGGCCTGTTCATTTAGTGAAGACATCCCATATATTTCTTTTAAGGAGGTGACTGAAGAGAGTCATGGGAAGAGCTTATTTGTTCTGCCCCGATTTTTACAAAGAAGAAGCCAGAGTTTCTCCTCGCCCCAAAGCTGTGAGGCCAATTTTGAGTTGGCAGGTAGAGAAGCTCCATGGTTTCTTCACTCTTGTGAGCCTGGGAAAGAACAGCTATGAGTGCTTGTGGGTTGCTTTAGAGAACTTACTGGGACTGAGAGGCTTTGTAGGAAAACCACATTCATTGTTGGTTTTCCACAGAGCCCTAGTAGAAATTCTTCCTGACTTTGATAGAGCAATATGGACCAGTTCTGCAGAAGGCCGCTCAGAGAACACTCTTTCAAGAAGTTGGTGGACAACAAATTGAAAGGTGTTATCTACTGTCTAATTCCCATTTCACTTCAACTCTGTTTCCTGAGGAAAGTGAATTTGAGCAAATTGTTTTTCCTAAGAAGAGCATATGAATAGGTAAAGCTCCAGCATAAGGTTGGGAGAGGTAGGGAGGGAAACCAAGCAGAGAGAAATGGAAATGGATCTGTCAGCTATTTTCTTGGCTCTGGTAGGAATTAAGGAGAAATGAAGTTTATGTGATAAGAATTCTCAGTACAGCGTTGATGGCATGTAAAAATACATGTGTTTTTGTGCTGTTATGTGCTTAGGGCACAGTGATTGAATGTCTTGTGGTGTGTAATCTTGTAGGAAAACCAGCTTAGCAGATGAGCAGCTTCTGATCTGTGCACATGTAGTTGAGCATTCAGACCATGACTGCTGCAATACAGTAGGAAATTTGTGCTAGGATTCCTTTACGAGAATGATGCTAGACATCAACATCACTGTGATCTGCTCTAACTTCTTTTTCTAGGATTGGTAGCATCATCTTTACTCATTCCCTGTTTTCAAGTCTTCAGTGAGACTATTGACTTGTCTTGGGATTGTGAGCTAACTTTCATAACAATTTAAAAATCTATATTTTAAAATCTGACTCTGTCATCTTCCCGTAGTGATCCATTGGACTACTAAAAGAATGCACTCTTCAGGGTAGTAAAAGTAAAACCAAAATATTTAGAAAATCATGCATGGAGAGAAATCAAAACTGATTTTCAGGCTAAATGAAAATGGTTCTGGGTTTGGATGTAAGGGTTTATCTAAGTCCCACTTTTCATCATTTGTATAAACTGCAGAGTTGTGTGCAAGAATTTTCATTTTGCTAGCATTTAAAATTCATTCGCTGTATGCCATTGATACTGACAACTTTTGGAGCTTTGATTACTAAGAGACTGGTCCAAGGGTTATGCTACTAAGTCAAATATATTTATACCCTGAATTCCATTGTAGTCAGTCACAGTGAAGGCAAGCGTAGTGTAGGTATTGCTGTAGAGAAATTTGATTCACAAATTACAGCTTTATGAATGAAAGATTCATGTGGGGGTCTTTTTTATGGCATTTAAAATTGATTTGGAATTGTTGTGAGGAGAGTGAATCACTTCACATGGGCTAACACTTGACTAACATTGTAGAGACCGAAATAGAAAGAGCAAAAGAAGGCTGACACCGTGGCACCTGGTGATCAAATGCTCTATGAAAGAGAGGCCTTTCTGCTTCTGTTTTGCTTTTATAAAGCAGATGACATCTTTTTTTAAAGATAGCCTTGAAACTCAAGATCTCTGGATTGCTCATTTCATTTTCATGTGGACATTCAAAGGAGGTAACCACCAGGATGTGAGGTGTGGCATCTATGGCACTTTATGTGGATTTTTTTGTTTGTAATGTTTTTGTCATAAATGTGGACAGTAGCCTCCCCAGGGATCTTTAATATGGAACTCCCAGACTCTTGCATAATGTCAGGACTGTAGAAACCACAACATGGTATAAAAAGAAAAACCCCAAAAATGTAACAATTGGAATAAAAAGGAACCAAAAATAAGATGGTATGGGAGACATTTACAGAATGGTGAATTAAAGCAAATAGAACCTCCAGCATTATAAGGTGCTAAGTGATGCAGTTCTTTCTCATGCTCTTATTCTCCAGACCAATGATCCCACCTCATGCTTTGAAAATGTCATCGATTTTTCCCCTTTTATCTTTTCATTCACAAAATTACTGTGCAATCTTTATTATTAAAGCATTTCAAAGAAGATGATGCAAAATGTTTTAAGGTTAGTTTTCTTTTCTGGGTAATCACAATAGTATTCTATTTTGTGAGAAAAACAAATACATGCCTATTTGTACTTTGTTTTCTTTTTTGTTTGTTTTTTTTATCCTCATTGAGTATTGGTATATTTTAGGTGTACAGTACAGTTACATTCATTATTGGGATCTTGTACCTTTACATGACAGGTCTTGGTTCTCATTTTTTCCCCTTGTTCCTGCCCTTCCTTCACCCCTTCCTCCCCTTCCCATTTAAAAACCCTATTTGTACTTTGGCAGACCACTCATTAGCTATTTTATTTCATTTGAAAGATATTTTGTATTTGTAGAGTTGTTTCTTGGAGCTGTTTTTGTATTTGTGTGCAGGACCTTTTGGATTCTTGTTCCTGATTCACAATAAAATGTCTAATTTTTCTCACTTTACGCTAAATGAGGGGCCAACAAAGTAGAGCCTGTGGGTCAAATACAGCTGCAACCTGTTCTTATAGAGTTTTATTGAAACACCCATTTATTTATGTGTTGTCTGTGCCTCTTTTTGAGCTGTAGTGACATAGTTGAGTTGTGGCTGTGGAGACCAAACATGGCCACAAAACTAAAACTGTGTAGTCTCATCCCATACAACAAACACTTTCCAACCTCTTCTCAGTTAAAAGTCTTAGTGCAGTGTCTATTGATCATGCAGTTGTCTCACTGATATCATCTGTACTAGGTAAAGCTTACAGTATGTTGTGATTTACTCTCTTTATCTTTGCAATTTATATTCTTATGGAATTTTAGACAGTAATATCTGAGGAGTCATCGACTGGAGCTGTCATTCTAATTAGACAAACATAATGACATACTATAGAATTCTGGCAGTGATTCCAAATTAGGATGCCACACTTAAAAAGTGATATAGCATGTTTATTGCTAGGATTTAGATAAGTGTCCCCAAAGGCAGCTCATCACATTGCTGCGAAGTGGTAGGACCTTTAAGAGGTGGGGCCTAATGGGAGGACTTTAGATCATTGGGGATGTGCCCTGGGAAACCCTAGTTCTCTCTCTTCTCTTTGCTTTCTGTCTTCCATCAGATGAGCAGCTTCCTCTACCATGTGCTCCTGCTGTGATGTTTCGCCTCACCACAGGCTCAAAAGGGAAAGGGCCAACCAGCTGTGAACAGAAACGTCTAAATCTGTTAGCTGAAAAAACCTTTCGTTCTTACAAGTTTATTGTCTCAGGTATATTGTTACGGTAAAAGAAAGGTAACTAACAAATTTATATTCACTAAGAGCAAGGTTTTAAATAATTTTCCATATCAAACCAAATTTGCATTTGTATTTTTCTGGAAAATAGTGACTGCTAGTTGTTGGAACACAGTGAACCTTCAGGTATCTTCTGAGTTGTATTTGTGATGAGCTAGGACAGTGTTAATGCAGGACTGCAGCTTAGCCTTTAGTACTGCTTAGCCATTTTGTTTCTGTTTTTTTTTTGCATTTGGTCTCATCAGAATAAAGTGCCTGTGCAATCTGGTAACCAACAGTCTCTGCTAAAAATAATGAGAAATCTTACTTTTCCTTTAGTTTATGATGGAAAGTAATGCCCTTGGCAACCTCTGTTTTTTGTGACCGTATTTAGGGCTCTGTCATGATTTCCAGATTGCATTCATGAAACAGTCATTTAACATTCTAGATTTACAAATTGTAGCTTAACTAATGCAGACAACAGATCTGGGAAATTCTGGCTTATTAAAGTGTCTATAAAACTGCTACTTCTGTTCAAGTTTAGAACCTGAGTCATTCACATTGTGGAATTCTTTCTGGGGGAAAAAAGGCTTTGGGAACCATCAAATCCCCTTTCTGCAGTTTAAGGTTTGATAAGAAGCAAAGTTTGTTGATAAGAATGACAACTCACTAGTCAAGGTGGCTGGAAAGAATTTCTGTAAATAGGGAAATATCAGGGATATCATGGGTCATTTTCCAGCTTTCTCTGAGGCAGAACTCTTGGAGAGTGGTTTAGAATAACTTAATAAAACCTTCAGTCACCTGGGCTGGTATGGCACACTCTGTGGCACAATTTGCATACGTACAAAGTTGTAAATAGCACCCTCCCCCCCATCATAGTTGTATGATCAAAGCCTCAGTGACAATAGCCCAATGTAATACCCAAATGCATTCCAGAGCATTTATGTTGTTGTTAAATTACCTGGAGGCTTGAATTTTATTGGTCTGCTTTGCTCATTAAAACCAAGAGTTAAGATTTGGAATTGTCTATATAGTCACATTCCTGCCCACAACTAGTTAGGTGGTGTAGCTTGATATAGAACCCAGCTTGATTTCTAAGTTTAGCTTTACATCATGAGCCAGCAGTGAAACTTAGAAGTATTGGTTTTCATGGAAGCAGCATGGAAAACCTCAGCAATTCCTAAATCTCTGCTGAAATGCACATATATGAGTCCACTGCTTGGAGGAGGACAGAGTAGGCTTAGGTTTCACAGTGATCCTTCAGAAGATTGGCCTTAGCATGATGCATATTTGGTTCCAAGGCTTCCAGTGCCGGGAAAAGACAGTACCTTGGACTTCAGACAGCTTCGATGGCGAGTTTTCAAGCTTTGTTCTTCTGATAACTTTTCAACAAGGAATTGTTTGGTATCTGATAATGCTATAGAATTCAATAAAACCCCAAAACTCTTTCCTATCCTTCCTTGCTGTGTCAGAAGATCAGTAGAAGAGGGTGCTGGGAGGGATTAAACATTTCAGCTGCATGGTTTTTAATGTGCATGTTCATAAATGGTTGCCCTCTTACGCACCTCGATTTCTACCTACCAGCCGTGTGCTTCTGCAGGGGCCAGAGGAGTGAGGGTTTTCCTCTGATGTGGAGACATTCCAGATGGACAAGAGTGGAAATGATGCCCAGTTACATTTTTAGGGGCTTAGTAATGGAGCCACGGCAGATTAGGAGGCCAAAAAAAAAAAAAAAAGCACGGCTGTAGGGCAGTGTACTGGATGTCCACTAGATTTCCTATCTGCGAGTGACATTTTGTAAATTAATTGGGTATTTTCAGCTCTGTCCAAGAAACAGAAAGGAGGTTCCTAGTGTAGGCTTTGAGATAATATTTCAGGTAACCTGTTTAGCAAAACCACTTAGTGAATCTTAGTTTTAAAATTAAATTGTAATCTTATCATAAGGCAAACCATGCAACTAAAATTTAATTTGTGCACATAAATGAAAAGACTTGGTTGGAGGGTGAGCTTATTCTGTGCATAACTTTTCTTTGTTAGCCTCGTATAGGTTCCAGCAGAGTACTAGGAGACAAAACATTTTAATGTGTTTTCATGGCTCCATTATTCACGGTGTATTTGCATCTTACTGTGACTATTTTTATTCTCTTGGGTTTCCTAAAAGGAGTGCCATGTTTTAAATTTTGTCCAATAAGTGGCTTTTGTCTTTGCATTAATTTTGAAAAAATATGTTTCTATAGTTTTCATTTGTTTAAAAACACATTTGGATCTATGTATCTGCTTTGATCATAAAAACTCCTCTTTCCCCACATGATCTTCATTCAGCTGCATGAAGCGAAGAAGTTCAGTGAAGAAATAAATTTCTTTGCATACCAACATTGACCATGTTATAGGAGTGCTACAGTGTTTTGGAATGCGACTTGCTTCAGCAGCTGTTTGGTGGTTAATAGTTCCGGACTCTTGCCAGCTGCTGTGCTTCTGCCATGGTTGGTGGGGGCCATGTCAAAACTCTTGAAACTTTAGTTTCCAGAACCCAGTACTTATTTGTCCCTTTATTAAATGCAAGTACTATGTTTAGAAATTTGTTTGCTACAAACCTCTGTAAAAGTTTTCTCTGGACAAAATGTTTTGCTCTGTAGAAAGAAAGTTTCCACTTACCAACATAGCATTGTAAAAATTTCTAGCAACCATATCTCCCAGTTATATAAATAAGCATTGGGAATTGCCTTTCAAACCACACGGGTGACTAATGAATGCTACCTGCTACTTCTGATGTTTATTTGTGCTTGAGATTTGTGTAATTTCTGTTCCCCCCAAAGTCCAAGATCAGGCAGTTTAGGATAATAGAGCTTGTTTTTTCATTGTCCTTGATTGCGCTTCTATAAATCATATTCTGAGCTGAAAGAGAAGTGAATGTGCAGTTGCACAGCCTATCTTACTCCACAGTTACTGGAAAAAAATAATTTGTAATGGGCAGTGAGTATCTTTGCTAGAGGAATTTACAAAACCGCTTCAAAGATAATCACAAGTATTATCTGTAGAGCGTCCCCCCCAATTTCACATTATGGAGTATTTTAGGAATCATGCTGCTGCATCCCTTTTGGCTAGTTGTGAGTTTGTTACCATTTGCGTAACCATTTGACCTCAGCTTTTCACTGTACCTAAAAAAGAAAAAACCTCCCCCCCAAACATTATACCCTCTATGTTTTATTCCCACATTTCCAGCAGTATATAACTTAGGCATATAAACCTATCTTAGAGAATTTTGCATATCATCACAGTCTCTTGGAAACTGAGGGAATAAAAGTAATTGGCTGATTCATTATAATTATTTCTGTACCATATCAAAGTCTAATCACTTACAAAGAGTAAAATTTCTACCAAATCTAAATAGATGTTCAGATTTCATATTTTCCTAGTATAGACAATTGTAACTTGGAAAAATATGTAGGCTGAAAGGTAATACAACATTGTTTAATGTTTTGAAAAAAAATATTGGTTTGCATTTATAATTTTTAAAATGATTTTTGTAAGTATTCATCTACATGGTCATGATGGTAGACCAATGGTATAGGTGGTTTCTTAGCATTGTAAAGTATTTACATGTGTCTAGTTCTTCAAGCTTTATTTAAAAGTATTTGTGCCATAACAAACCATCATTTGCATGGCATTCATTGACCAGTGCAGTGAAGGTAAAAATAAAACATCTTTCATGCATGAATCATGAAACATGGCGAATGGTTTTCTGGATTCACATTGGGTCTGTGAATAATTAGGGAAGGAAGCTCTCTCTCTCTCTAGAAAGTAGACTTTTCAATTTATTTCTTCCCCTCTCGTTTTCATTTCTTTCAGACGCAGAGCAACTCAGAATTCTTTTGACATATAGATAGTATGCCAAATTATAAATTACTGATGTATTAATATCTGCCTCATTGAATACAAGTCCTATTAGAAAATTGGGAATAAAAAATCACGTATGATATATCCAATTAAAGCCTATTTTTAAATGCCCAGTTAATTTTTATCAATTCTTTTTTATCCTAAATGCATTTCTTTGGCTTATACCTATATTTTGTCTAGCAACTTATCAAAATACTTTTGGATAGCAAAGTTCAAGGGGAAATCTTTCCAGGAGGAGGTTGTATTTATGCAGTGTTTTCCAATGTGTCTTTCACAGGATGTTAAAGTAGTTAATATGAAATAAAAACTACATACTGACATAGTGAAATGGGAAGAAAGGGGCTAAAGGTGTAGGGAAGGTAGGATGGATAGGGGAAGGGTAATAAGGGAAAAGAAAAAAAATGTGAGATAAAGAAAAGATGGAAATAAAGTGCTTGTAGATGAGGAGGGGAGGAGGGGGTGAAGGGAGGACAGGGACAAGAGGAAAAAATGAGAATCAAGACCTGTCATATAGAGGTACAAGATCCCAACAATGCATGTAACTGTACTGTATCCCTAAAATGTACCAATAAACTCAATTAAAGCTGAAAAAAAACCCTACATATCTTCTGGTGCTAAGTGTAGGAAATACATGGTTAAACAAAATGTCAAGGCTCTAACATGAGATGAGACATATCAAGAAGGCACTGACTCCTCAATGCTTTTGGCCACAGAGCTTCATCGCTGGGAGCTCATGATCTTTGGAACATATTATGAGATTACTGCTTTAGTGCATGCTGGGATTGGATCTCCCACATTGTCCAAGTTTGGTGGCACCAGCCATCTTGTAATAGCAAAAGCTTACTACTCTCTGTTGGAGGTTTTACCAATATATGACTTGGAGTTATTGTCAGAACTCATTGATTATAGTACTTTATAAATAGTCACATGGATTTGTGCTTCTTCTTTTTTTATTTTTTATTTTTTGTACCGGGGATTGAACTCAGGTCCTTGTGCTTGCAAGGCAGGCCACCGAACCACTGAGCTAAATCC